AAACAATAAATGTCTGACCAAAGCACACTACTGACAACAATCAATACGAAACTATCGATTTTAAATTGGCTCATTACTTGACTAGCCTATTGATCCCAAGAAAATCAATTACCGTGTCCCATTCTAGTATAAATTCCAGTACTACACTATGTTTGTTTTGATTCACTATGAAAGTTTGACAGATAAAATGAGGGGTTAGTGGATTTTCCTATGTTTCGAGGGGTGAATTGATTAGCTTGGGACCGAAGAAAGTACCAGAGCTGAGCCAAAAAGTTGAGCACGTTTCTTCGGGACCTTCTGGTCTTAGAGTTACCTCTATGCTACTGACATCTGGCTCCATGTTCGCGGGAAATATTTAGCTATACCATGAACCCCCATGTAAAAGTTATGAATTGGTTCGTGTCTGACCAATTCTGGACAAATTATTTTTATATAGATCAAAAAATCCTATGGATTTGACAGTTCGGATCACTGCACATTTAAATCGGCTGTTTACGATTTTCGGGCATAAGTCAGAATTAAGTGTCATGTCGGTTTGTCGGTGCTAGTACTACCATCAGATAGGGGAAAATTTTCCCAACCTGTTAGCGGTGTTAGCATAGAGGTAACTCTAAGACCACTGGGTCCCGAAGAAAATCATTATTATTTTTGGCTCACTCAGTACCAGAACAACGGTCCCAAGCAGTCCCAAGCTATTTCACTCACCCCTGCATGTTCTGCATGAATCCACACACCCCTGATGTTATCTGTCAAACTTTCATAGCGAATCAAAACAAACATAGTGTAGTAATAGAATTTCAACTAGAATAGGGTACGTTAATCGTTTGCTTGGGACCAATAGGCTACTAAAGTGGTGAGCCAATTTAAAATCGTTAGTTTCGTATTGATTGTTGGTGTTAGTATGTGGGGCGAGCTATTAGTTATGCCAAACCGACGATAAAATGCGTTGTTTACAAAAGCTGATATGTCCTTCCAAAAAGTAAACGAGATTAGTAGTTATCATTCAGGCAAGGAGCGCTTGCGCCATCGAGGTGACGCCGCTACCAGCAGCCAATGATCTCAACGGGAACGACGCGCAAAGTTCGAGGTGCAAAACTCGAACTCTGCGCGCTTGACAGAAACCGCCTTCCTACTGCTTCTGCTGTTGCTGCTGCTACTGCTGCTGCTGCTGCTGCTGCTGCTGCTGCTACATGCTTACCCGCCGTCCGAAGCGAAAATGAGTTGAGGCACATTAGCAGCGCTGTTTTATAACTTTTCTGATTTAAGCAGCACGATGTGCAACCAAATTGTACTTGATTATGAGGACTGGGTTTGGGGAGAACGCTTATTTCATGAAAACAGTGATAAAATTATCACCTTTTATTTGTCCATTTTTAAAACAGTTTTTATGAAAAATTGAAAAAAAAAGTTTTTATGCAACTGCTTACGAAAGGTATTTCCTATCGATTGGTGTGTTCGGATTTTAATTTCATCTATTAATGACAAAGCTTATAGCGTTCAAAAAATTACATCTTTTCGTGACGGTCGCAATTTTAGATTTTCGATTTACCCCCAGTACCTTCCCGTAAGACGTAGTCTACGTCAAAAGGTGTACCATTTGAATTTAAACACGTCTCAAAATCATTTTCAATCTAATTCATACTTGGAAAACCATATAATTGTTCACAAATAAGTTATTTAGAATTGTTTGCAAAATTGCAAATATTTTGCAAAATTATTTTTACACGTGTTTCGAGTAGAATGCAATGACAGTGTAAGATCTTGAAATCAAAACAACAACAAAAACCAAAACAGACACTTTGTTGTTGTTTTGATTCCGAATAAAAAATCTATCTGTCATACGCATGGCCCGCACTTATTTCATCCCCGCACTTTCAAAGTGCGGAGTCCAGTAAGGTGCAAAATGCGCAATATCAGTGTACTAAGAACCGTTCCGCACTCGTGTTTATTTCAGTTACCATGGGGACGTAATTTGTGATTAGCCCCGGTCCCTTTCAAACTGTATCATTATTTATGTACGGCCTTAAATTTTAAATGATGTTTCACATTCATCTGGTGATGACCGATTTTCATTCGAATAATCGATTAATCGATTAACGAACCGAAAAGTAAAATATTTATAATCGGCTATATCATGCTGATATAAGCATTAACTTTTACAGAGGATCATCACCCACACGAAACGAAAATCAATTATTTTATTCATGTGTTTCACTTATACATTTTTGCCAAAACATCAACCTTATACATTCCATAAGACAAACCACATAGGTCCTATAAGAATGCATAAAAGGTATGTGTGACCGCTTATACATTTCATTTGACACATGATCTTCATTAACTTTTTGCAAGGCGTCTGCTTATTAGTTGACTTATACATTTTATGAATAATCAGCAATAGAAATTTGCCAAAAGGTGTAAGGAGATTTCTATCCGTGCATCGTTTCAAACATATGGTGCACTGCTGCACTCTGGTGGAAAAATGACAACACAGCGAACAAAAAATAATCGATTAGTTGTTAATCGAATAATTTAAAAAATGGGACATCTCTGATTTTGGTGTAATTGTTTTGATAAAAAAGAGCGCAAAATTTCATCTCTGCCGGGGGGGCAGCAAAACCACAAAATTACCTTGCATACGAAGGGTATTAATTGGATGAAAGCGAGGATGAAAGGGACCGTGAAAGAGGACACTAAAATAGAAAGTTTTTCTTCCGACTGTTTCATCTTAGTATTCTTCTTTGGTACTAATGGATGATTTGGTCGCTATTGAAAATTTAGTCGATTGCTGAATTTATGGATGGGCCCAAATTAGGGACATTTAGGCTGACATTACATCCATTTCCGCTATATGTATGTTTCGACGGTAAATTTTTCTGCGTGAGACCATAGAGGTAACTCTAAGACCACTGGGTCCCGAAGAAAATCATTATTATTTTTGGCTCACTCAGTACCAGAACAACGGTCCCAAGCAGTCCCAAGCTATTTCACTCACCCCTGCATGTTCTGCATGAATCCACACACCCCTGATGTTATCTGTCAAACTTTCATAGCGAATCAAAACAAACATAGTGTAGTAATAGAATTTCAACTAGAATAGGGTACGTTAATCGTTTGCTTGGGACCAATAGGCTACTAAAGTGGTGAGCCAATTTAAAACCGTTAGTTTCGTATTGATTGTTGGTGAGACCATCTCCGCCTTTAAGAATGACCTTCGGGTTTATTATATCAAATGTAAAACTTTTACTTTCTCTAGCTTCCAAAGTACATATTTTATAAATGTATTTTCCTTGACCTGACAAAGGGTACAACCAACAGGGTATACCCGATATATCGTTAACTAAATAAATTACAATTACAATTTAGGTAGGGGAAACGCTCCTATAGTTGCGGTACGTTAGAAGCGTTAGCTTCCTATAGTTGTGTATGGAGACTCAATACACAACTAAAGGAACCTAACGCTTCTAACGTACCGCAACTATAGGAGCGTTTCCCCTATACCCTTATTTATTATCGATAATTAGGTATTCCTGTCCTAGCGTGTATAAAAATTGGTTAAATTTTAATCATCGATGAGTATATGAAAGTTTCCGTGTATACATGCTATTTCAAAATAACTCAAATTTGGGTGGAATACACCCAAATAGGTCAAATGGATCAACAATAGAAAAGGGCCCATCAGCATTTGTGAACAAACTGTTTCAAAGCCCTTTACTCACAAAGCGAAGGCCACCCACGCAAACCAACACCATCATCGGATGGGGAAACTTCTACCTACACGATGATGGTGTTGGTTTGTGTGGGTGGCCTTCGATTTGTGAGGAATGGGCTTTGGAACGGTTTGTTTACAAATGCTGATGGGCCCTTTTCTATTGTTGATCCAGAAATCGGCCAAATCTGAACCTACTCAAAAATGGGTAAACAAAGTTGGGAGTGAAAAATTGACACATCTGCACTCAAAAATATTACAAACCGAATATAGATTAAATTTTATGCATTTTATGGTTTTTCAAAATTTATACATTGCTTCGATTAAAATTTTCGTCAAAATTATACTAAGTCCGAATAACGGAGTGGAATTCGATCAGTGTTTACTAAAATGATAGGAAAAAGAACATCTGGATTCTCTTCGGAGCTTCGTGCTGGTGAAGAGCTTCGCCCCGGCGGATTTCTACTGCGCCTGTGGTCTGTTTTTGCAGCTAGGAAATTGTAAGTATTTTTTAAATAACATTCATAAAAAATAAAATAATTAAAAACTTTTCTGAGATAATTTTAATTATTATTTGAAAACAATTTACCATAAATAAAATAAAGAAGCGGAAATACATTCTCTCGAATAAACCGTATCTATGCATTGTAAGTATATTTCGATTTTATACTATGGCACGAATAAACCAAACCATAAACATACTAAGTTTACATTCTCTCCCTTTATACCGACCTTTGCGTCTATACGGAGAGTTGCGATTTAGCGTAACTTTTATACTATTTAGATTTCAATTTTTTTTTTGAGTGTACAACATCGACGTGAATTCGTTCACGTGATTCGACGTGAATTCGAACAGATGTTGCTCACTTGTCACACTAAAGAGTCTGAATTACAGTGCCAACATTTCAAAGGTGCGTAATTGATTAGCTGGTAAAGGTAACATTCCTCTATCTGCATTAATCTTTATGATTGAGCTTTTATTCACGAGAAATCGAAGGCTAAAGCCATTGTTTACAAATGCAATTACGCCCCTTTGAAATGTTGACACTGAATTTATTAATTCAGTCTCCTTAATTCACACGTCTCTTCCAACATAGTTTATCCATTTTAGATCTGGGTGGATTCTACTCCAAATTGAGTAGTTTTGAGTTAGCGTGAATAGAAAGGACTGACTCAACTGTCATTTCGAGTGTGCATGTAGTTGTGCAAATTTCCCTCCAACCACGGTGTACCACCCCCCACCCACCCGCACAAACCGATAATCGTGTCGGAAAAGTCGAGATAGCAAACGGAGCGCGCCGCCAGGGAGACGACTGGGAAGTGCGACTAAACCAAGAAAAAAGCCACCGTGTGTGTTCTGCTCGAATTACTGACTGTTGGGAAGCATCTAGAAAAATCCCGAATCGATTCAGCGAAAGAAGTTGTTTACCTCATACTGTTACCACTGCAATATTTAATCTGAATCATCAAAAAAAAGGAAAACATTCATCTCGACACGCAACTTTCATTGGGAAGTCCTTAAAAGGAAGTAATTTTGTCGATCTGGTAATCTCCTGTAGAGGACGGTTGAATAAGAATGGCATTATTGCTGACCTGTTACAACCGAGGATGTGGTCAGAAATTTGACTCAAATAACAACACCGAAGGTGAGTGGGACCAAGATTTTTGCATGTTTAACCCAAATAACGACCAATTCCTATCTCTGACCCAGAATCCTGTATCTACCACCCGGGTGTTCCCTTCTTCCACGATGCCTTCAAAGGTTGGAGCTGCTGCAACAAGAAGAGTGTTGATTTCACCGAATTCCTCAACATCAAGGGATGCACCCAGGCGAAGCACTCCAACGTGAAGCCACCGGAACCGGAGAAGCCCGCCAGCCAGGATGTGGTCATTGATGAACCGCCACCGCAAAATATCCCAGCACCGATCCGGTCGACCATGAAGCGACCGTCCTGGGAGAGTCCGCTGACCACAGTAGAACCGATCGTGGCCGCGGCTTTCAAGAAGCAAATCGACGAACTGCCCATCGATCAGGCCGCGGTCAAAAAAGTAACCACCGACCCGGCGGAAGTGCAACCCGGAACGCTGTGCAAACACGGCGGATGTAACTATTCGTACGAGGGAAACAAGAATGACGAAAAACCTTGCGTTTATCATCCGGGAGTGCCGATCTTCCACGAGGGATTGAAGTTTTGGTCTTGCTGCCAGAAACGAACGTCCGATTTTACAGCATTTATGAATCAGGCCGGTTGCGAAACGGGCGGCCACAAATGGACCAGCGACGAGGACGAATCCAAGGCAATCAAGTGTCGTTTGGATTGGCACCAGACGGCGACGCAGGTCGTGGTGACGGTCTACGCCAAGATGTATCACTACCGGAAGAGCACTGTCCGGTTGAACCCGGTTCGGTTGGCCATGTGCTTGGTGTTTCCGCAGCAGAACAATCAGGAGTACAATATCGATCTGGAACTGCGTGGCTTGGTGGACGTGGGCAACTCGAAAGTGCAGATGTTCGGCACCAAGGTGGAAGTTACGCTGATCAAGGCTGAACCGGGCAGTTGGCCCAAGTTGGATTTCCCCCGGGAGAAGAAGCCCAGTGCCGCGCAGATCCGGCAGCAGCTGTTGGAGCAGCAGAAGGCGGCAGCCCAGCAGTCGGACGATGATTCCGATGTGGATCTGGACGATATCGGACCGGCGTTCCGTTCTGCTAACATCCAGGAGGTTTAGCAGTCGGGCGGGGGTGTTCTCTACTTGGTAGCGATTGGTTATATACAAATAGGTAGGTGGTGTTCGATGAGGTCTGAACGATGGACCAAATCGAATGAAAAAATAAACGAGAAAATGTGAAGGGAATTTCCGTTGATGCTCCGCCGGTGGATACCACGTCCTTGTTGCTCGATTCGGTTATCGGAAAATTGCTCATAAATATTATACTAGTAAAATATCAAAAATATATACTTTCAAGAACATCGAATACACTTCCGCACTCAATAATATTAAAATATAGCCACAATGGAAGGTCAAGTAACTGACTCAGACGAATTGAAGCTCGAATTCCGATTCCCGGGAATGGCCTTTTAATCTATTAAGTCTAAAAAACTTGTTCAGCTAAATTACTGAAGAGGTACTATGAGTTCGGTTTAGACCATTAACACCCCTATTCTCTATCCTATTCAAAACGGATTTCCCGTACAAAATTTTAAACGAAAAAACTGCTTATGAATTTCTAACAAATAATGACGTGCCCTTTCTGCCCATAATCTTAGAAATGGTTATTATGCCAAATCGCCGAAAACAGCACCACGTGGTAGGAATGAGAGTGAATAGAATCACATAGCAGGCATTGGTTGTCAGGATCAGGGGCCTGGCTGGCGGCCATGTTTTTGATGCTTTCATCTGCTATTGTCTTTCTGTATACAACACGATTTTGTGTCCCTTTCCTTCATGTATACGTTAGGCGGGCCGTATTTAAATAAGGCCCGTGATCTTGCCTACTGTCAGACGCATAGGATTGATATGGGATTGCCAGTCTCCTGGTCAGGATAAGTTCATTTGTTGACATCATGGCTTCATCGGAGCAAGCACGTCGCGATTCGATCCTGCTCCTGGCAGTTTTCGAGCAAATTCCTGGGCAGGAATTTTACACCTCAGTTGACTGGAAGCGTGCCCAGGAAGAATGTAAAATCAGAAAGAAGTCAAAATTCCCCAAAAAGTTCCTTGTCTGGCAAGCAATCTGCAGTTGTGGGCTGAAAAGCGAAACTTTCGTTACTCCTGGGACCATGAACCAGCAAATTTACCAGGAGGAGTGCCTACGGAAGAGACTACTGCAGCATGAGGTGGATTGCCTGTTCTGGCCAGACTCGGCAAGCTGTCAATACTCAAATTCCACCAAACAGTGGTAGAGCGAAAATTACGTTACAGTGGTTCCCAAGGAGATGAATCCGGCCAATACTCCGGAACTAAGACTAATTGAGGAATGTAATGGTCAATTTTGAAGCACATACTGAAGAAAAAGGGTGGAACTGTAATTGACCTGAAGAATTTCAAGCGCTATCCGCTTGACAGCCTGCTCAATTCAGAAGCAAAGTTCGAGTGGAACAAGAAGTGTCAGCAAGCATTCGACAGGTTCAAACGAATTCTCTCTTCGGATCTGCTACTAACTCACTGCAATCCATTGGTCTTGGCGCAACGATTAGCCATCGATTTCCAGATGGATCTTTGAAAGTGGTCCAACACGCTTCAAGAGCACTCACCAAGGTGGAAAATAATTACTGTCAGCCGGATAGCGAAGGTCTGTCCATAATATTTGCTGTTCGGTCGGCACTTTCCGTCTACAAGCGGACCACACTCCACTGCTTCGAATCTTCGGATCAGCCGGCGCCGGTGGTGTAGTGGTAAGCGTGACTGCTTTCTAACACCCCAATGGGTCTTTGTTCAATCCCAGCCGAGGTGGGTGGGATTTTTCTGAGGCATAAAAATCTCTGGTCACGTCTGGGAAGTAAAGCCGTTGGTCCAGGCCCATGTGTGTTGTGAATGTGTGCGATATCCTACGCAGGTGTGGAAGCTGCCTTCCTGCATATTCGATTGTGGTCAATGGATGGCAATCGATGTCCGTCGGTGATTGGCACTAGATTGCGGAACAGAGACCGACGTTAAATAAAGGAAAGAAGAAGAAGAAGAAGAATCTTCGGATCTAAGAAAGGCATTCCCGTTTATACTGCCAAAAGGCTGCAACGGTTTGTATTTACTCTACTGCTGTAGTATGACTTCGAGATTGAGTACGTTCGATATTGTCGATGCCCTGACACGTCTCATCGATCAGCACGCAAATTTGCTTAAGCCAGAGGAAGATTATGTCATCGCCAGTATCCGTCTCGAGGAAGATATCAGATCGGTAGCCTCATGTTTAGTTAACGCTATTCATCTCAGTTTAAGAGCCATTGCTCAGGGTACGCAGTCCGATCCACTCCTTCGCAAGGTCTTTCGGTATGTCAAAGATGCTTGGCCGCAAACGCAACTCATCGAGCCGGAACTCAAGCGATTCCAAGTCAGGCAGGAGTCACTCAGTCTAGTGAATGACTGTATCCTGTTCGGAGAACGACTCGTGATTCCTTCGCAGTATTGAAAGCAGTGCTTGAACCGAGGCTTGAACCAACTACATCTTGGACATCCCAGACTTGTCAGGTCAGCATTGTGCGTCAGTTGCACGATCTTCTCACTCAGATCCTGTCCCATGACCCAAAGCATCTGGTACGTGGCAACGTGTTCATGTCGAAGGGGCAATACTCCAAGTGGCCTGAAGTGGTACGTATCACTTCCCATGCTACCATCAGCATTATGCGTGGACTATTCGCTCATCTTGGGATGCCCGCAATCTTGGAACACAGTTCATTTTTCTGCATGGCGACTGGGATAGAACACATTACACCAGCCCCGTTCCATCCTCAGTCGAACGGGCAGGCCAGACGTTTTATGGACACGTTCAAACGCACCGTCAAGAAGATTCGAAAGGGGAGTGGAGCAATCGAAGAAGCTTTGGACACACCAAATCGCTCCTTACCGGAATGCAAATCGCCACCTGAGGTCATGTTTGGTCGCCAAATCGGACGTGCCTCGAGTTGCTTCATCCACCAACAGTTCGTAAGCCAGAAGCAACAGTAAAACCAGACAAACAGCCAAGGACCTATAGCAAGAAGGATCCAGTTTACGCCAAGGTCTACGCGCGAAACAGTTGGAAATGGGCACCAAGCATCGCCTGGGAGACGTCATGTACAATGTGTGTATCGAAGACCATCGAATGCTGCGCTCACACATGATTCAGTTACGAAGCCGAACCGTAACAAATTCAGCACCAAGCCAGTCTACAGTTATGAACATAAATTACCCTTGGCTGTTCTACTTGAAGCCTGGAGCTTGCCTAAACCCGGTCCGAATAGGCAAGCTCCGCTTCCAGCTCCAGTAACACCATCGTCTTAGCAATCTTCTTCATCAGTCAGAACATAGCAGGCTTCTACGCCACAACGAGCATCGTCTACTCCGCGGCATGACCAGCCGCGAGATTCTGTGATGAGTCTGTTGTCGTCTGTCCAGTAACGTCAACGTCATCATCAGCTTCAACCGAATTTGAATCAGCAGTTGGTCAGACGCTATCAGGTTATAGGCCCAGACTAGCTCGTAGCAACAGTTGTCAACCGACCACGTTGGAAGTGAAAATGTCAAGAATGCCCGTGAGAAGAACGGGAGTCGATTTATTACCGGCTAGAGGAGACTTCGTTTCTGAAGAAAATGGACCATCAGCAAACGTTTCTGCTCAAGTCACCGGTTCTGTTGATCCGAAGGAAGGCGGTTCTGGAGTGAACCAGCAAGCAGAAGTGTGCGAGCAGCGTGTCCCACCAATCCTGGGAGAAGCTGAGAGGCGGTGAGGACTATGCGGCGTTGGCGTTCAGTATGCGGAGGGTGATGATCAAGGAGGGAATCTAGCGAGCCGTTAATTCTCCTGAAGGTATTCAGATCAGTGAGGACCTGTCGGACCGTGACTTAGCGACGACTTGCGTTAGCATCGAAAGGTGCACTGATGCAGAACGCGAGAACTGCCATGGAAGCTTAGACAAGTCTCCGGACGGCCTTCCAGGACAGCGGGAACTGGAAGATTGAGCCACAAGCTGCAGGGGAATGGATTTCCGATTGACGACGAGTGGATGTCGTTGATCCTCATAATAGGTTTGCCAAAGTGATACAAACCCATGGTCATGGGAATGGGCGCATCATGAGTCAAGTGAGCGTAGATTGGGTCAAGTCAAAAATACTCCAGGATGTGACGATCGAGAATTGGATCAACACTGGCGGATCAAGCGGGGCATTGGCAATGTGTCTGAAGCAGACGACCAAGAAGAAGGACAAGTCCAGTATGAGGTGTTTTAAGAGCGAGAAGTTTGGTCATTACGCGTCGGAATGTCCACAGAAGACGAAGAATTTCAAGTTCCGAGAAGGGTTCTCGGAACGTTAAAAAGAAGGCACTACTGGCGTGAAAGAAGCAGAAAGGATCAGCAGAAGATTGGATGCTGGAGCTGGAGATCATATGTGTAGGGACGAGAGTGCTCTTGGTGGCGCAAAGAAAGTGTCACAGCACATCTATGTGGCAGACGCATCCAAGATAGCGGTCGAGCTAATCGCTGTTGTGGACGGTGAGTGCTGTAGCCTAGATGTGTCCTAGACTAGAAGGTTATTACGTGAATTTCACGCGAGAGTCGTTTGTAATCAAACAAGAGTCAACGAGAGAAGTCATTGCCATGGGTCGTAAGATGGACGGTCTTTTTCGACTGAACCAGGTTGGTCAGCCGAGTGCGTGTGTGGCACCGTCCAGGCGTTAATCTGGACCTATGGCATCGGCGATTATGCAATTTAAATGTAGACAGTGTGAAGCAGTTACCTGGCATGGTGACGGGAATGGATATCTCGAATGGAACGATGTCACCCTGTGTCGAAGAAAAACATCAAAAGTCACCATTCGCACGAGAGCGAGAGATGTTCTTGAGCTGGTGCATTCGGATCTGTGTGGACCGATGGAGAAATCTTCAATTGGTGGAAGCAAGTATTTCGTTACCTTCATCGACGATGCGAGTAGAATGCCCTTTGTCTACTTCCTGAAGTCCAACACGCATGCGTTTAGTGCGTTCAAGACCTATTCCGAAACCCAGACTGGAAAGAAGTTGAAGCACCGACGAACCGACATGCCACTGATGCATTTCGTTTGTCCGCAATTCAATTTTTCAAATGAGCGACTCGATCTGTCAATCGGGCGACCAGATCTGTCGAACAATATGACACGCAAACCAAGTCAATATTGCTGATTGCATCTGAAACTGGACTGTCCCAAAAATGCAAAAAGTGTGATAAAAGTGCACCTTT